TCCCATTATTACTGAACTTTAAAATATCCAAACGATTTCTCATTTATGTTTCTATTCTACTTTATTTTTACCAGTCTAGAAAAGCAGATATGACAAAATTGTTCTCATCAGAGACAGCGTTCTGTGCTAAAATTGTGACCATGACAGACTGGTTTGACTTTAGTGTGTAAAAAGTAGCCCTTTTTACACATTGAGAAACTTCGCTTTTTTCTCTGTATTTCATCTTCTATTGGGTTGTCGGGAAAGTCATGATGTATTTTTTCTGTTTTTCGTTGCAAAAATGTGTCATGACTTTTCCGACAACCCAATATTTCTCTAAGATTTTACCAGTTCTTAAAGATTCTACTACCACCCGAAGCAGTTGACTCTAAGATCTACATTTCCCAGCCCTGACACCCATGTTCCAGTTCTGTTTTTTTCGCTGTCTGTGGGATAACTCCATTTTGGATATTTTATGTCATCACCTCTGTCCACCATTCGCCTATCCAGTATCTTATTCTTTGCCAATCACTGTACCAGAAATAAGGATTTCAGAGATGAAGAAGACACAATTCCTACCCTCAAGGAAAAGTGGAAATAGTCTGTAAGGAGATATGCGCAGGATATTATGGGATACAGAGAAGAAAAGCCAAGGAAAGAAAGCAGATTCTACTAGGGTCAGTGGAGTGGCAGGGAAGCCCTTCCTAGAGGAAGTTACTCTTGAGTAGATTCTCGAAGGACACATGGGAATTAGCTAGTCCGATTGGAAAGGAGTGTGTGTGAAGAGCTTTTCAGACAGAGGGAACTGTAAGTACGAAGGCATGAAAAGGTGAAACATGTTTGGAGAACTTTGAGTCATTCTCTGCCCTAGAGTACATGATGTGGAAAGAGATGAAGTAAGAAATCAGATCATGAAGAATCATGGATGCCATTATTAAGGGGTTTACACATTATTCTGAAACATATGGTGAGCCATGAGCCAGTGGTATTATTGAAAGATTATTCTGGTAGCTCAGTGGAGGATGAATGGGAGAGGACTGAAACTGGAGGTAGGAAGACTAAATAAAAGGCTACTGTGTTACATCAGAACAAAGATTATTGGGGCCTGAACCTAGACAGTGACTGGAAGGGATGAGACATAGTTAGGTATTAGGTTAAATTTCACTTGAGGATTCATTGATTGTATGAAGTGAGGACAACTATTTTTTTTTTTGTTTGAGGGATAGGGCTTATGATTAGGTTTGCTTGTTACATAACCTTAGCATTCTGTACATCTCTGTAATACTCAGTACTTTTGTAATTTCTTTAAAAATTTCTCTCTTCCTTGCTCGACTAGAAGACTATGAGGGCAAGACCTTGTCTGTTTACTCATTTTAAAATCCTTAGTGACCAGTTTGTAGTGGGTGAACGGCTGAATGAAAAATAATGGTGTTGCCTTTAACCAGCATAAGAGGAGGAGCCTGTTTAAGGGAGGGGAGGGAAGGGAAAAATTCAATAGGCATTTCTAAGGCCAGCCTCACTTTTCAAGTCTTACTTTTCCTGTTTCATTGTGGTTTTTTTTTTTTTTACAGCAACAATATTTTTCCCTTTCCCAGACTTGAAACCTCTGTTTAATATTCCACTTCTTTATCTCCTTCACTCATCATATTCTCTTTGTCATCAAGATCTGTTATGTCTTTCATTTTAATATGTCTTGGATTTGTCCTTATATTTCTCACTGACAGAGCACTAACTCAGACTAGAGCTAAATTGTTGCATTAACTTTTATTATATGTGAAATTTTATCAGTTTTAGATATACAGATTTATTGTGAATATTACACAGAATGTTCCTATATATCCAACACCCAGTTTTCCTCATTATTAATATCTTATATTGCTATGGCATATTTGATATTGATACCTTATTATTAATTAAAGTCCATTCTTCATTCAGATTTCCTTAATTTTTTCCTCATGTCTTTTTTTTCTGTTCTAGGATCCTATCGTGGATACCACATTACATTTAGTAGCCATGTCTCCTTAGACTTCTCTTGGTTGTGACAGTGTCTCAGACTTTTCTTATTTTTGATGACCTTGACAATTTTGAGATTACTGATCAGCTGTTTTGTAGAATGTACCTCAATTGGGGTTTGTCTGATGTTTTTCTCATGATTAGACTTGGAGAATGTGGTTTTGAGAGGAAACCAGAGGTCGAGTGCTGTTCTCATTACACCCTAACAAAGGTACATACTGTCAATATGACTTAACACTGTTGATGTTAACCTTGATTTTGACTTGAGGTAGGTCAGGTTTCTCCACTATAAATTTCATCCCCCATCCCCTTCCTTTCCATACTGTACTCTTGGAAAAAGTCACTATGCACAGCCCACATTTAAGGAGTGGAGAATTATTCTTGGGGGGAAAGTATTTACCTTAGTTATTTGGAATTCTGCACCAGAGATTTATCCGTTTTCCTCCATTTATTTATTCAACCATTTATATATACAGAGGGTACCAAAAAAATGTATACACATTTTAAGAAAGGAAAAAACTGTATTAAAATTGTAATAATATATACTGATAACAAAAGATGAATACAAGTCATGTGTATACATTTTTCTGGCACCCCTGGTATATACCAGTATAGATTCATAATGATATGGGTATTTATTTTATACTTTGGCTTATAATTCAATACTATATTTATTTTGTTGCTCAAATTGTTCCAGCCTTTGCCTTTGGAAGCTCTTTTAGTTGGCCTCTAGATTTCTCTTACATACCCTCATCTGTGTGTGTGTGTGTGTGTGTGTGTGTGTGTGTGTGTGTGTGTGCACTTTCTTACTTTCTGGCACTACAGAATGCTCCATGCTTATTCCTGCCCCAGTCCTAGAATCAAGAACCAAGGAGCCCTGGTTCCTTTTATGGGAGAATGATGTTAGAAACGCAGATCTGTGTATTGTTTAGTTGATCTTGCCTTCAGTCTTTTTCCTTTCCACTTTATCCTGCCATATTCATCTTCCTTAAATAGAGCTTCCATGGAGTAGGTAATTTCTCTCCTTAAGAGTTATTGTAGCTCATTAGTACTTATCTGATCAAATATCCTTTGCTTAACTTTCTTGGCCTCACCTAATTTACTTTTCTCATTGTTAAATGCTTTATCTCTCTTTTTTCTCCTTCTTATGCTGTTCTAAACATGGCATGATTTGCCCTTTCTTCTCTAACATTCCAAGTCTAATTCCCACTTCCCTTATTCGTGTCTTTGGGTGCCTTGTGTTTTTAAATGGTTAGACTTGTATGTTTATCATATTTGGTAATTAATAGTCAAACTTAAAAGTTAAATTCAGAAGAGATTCCAGAAAATCATTTGTCCGTCTCCTCATTTAACGATCAGGAATCTGTGGCCTCCAAATCCAGAAAGACTTGATCAATTCATGGCAGAGACAACCTGATCCGTAGCTTTCAAACTTTGCACAGTATTCTTTTCACCATATGCAACTGCTCTGCCCCTTCCCATATCCTTTTTGAAAGAATTGAGATATAATTTCTATACCATAAAATTTACCACTTAAAAAGGTATATAGGTAGGCCTTTTGAGCTTCCTTTGCTTGGCCTGATCCAAACTCTTTGGAGTGTACTTTCTCTTCTAATAAATAATGGCCCTTGAGCCATTCTCTATTGCTCGGGCCCACTTCTGCTTCTTTGAAATGTATTTTTTCTTCTAATAAACTGTCCTAAAAAAAAAAAAAAAGGTATAGGCAGACAGTTCTGCTTCCTGGCAGGCCTGGCACAAAAACAGGTAGTGGGATCACAAACCAAGGAGCCTGCTGGCTGCAGGACTGAACTAAGCCAGCACTCATAGCGTCCTCCCATTAAACCCGTGCTGCTGCCTGGGGTTGTCACCTCCCGAGAAAAGTTATGGAACCATGTTGAATAAGGGGAAACACCTATTTAACTTGACGTTTGCAGCGAAAGAGCTTAATAAGACTGCCAAGAGATGTGATAGAGAAAAAAAGGCTGAAAAGGCCAAGATTAAAAAGGCCATTCAGAAAGGCAATACAGAATTTGCAAGAATATGTGCTGAAAATGCAATCCGCCAGAAGAACCACACAATTCGTTTCTTGAGAATGAATGCTAGGGTTGATGCTGTGGCAGCCAACGTTCAAACCGCTGTACCAATGGGCAAGGTAACTGAGTCCATGGCAGGCGTAGTTAAATCTATGGATGTTACGTTGAGGAGGATGAGCCTTAAAAAGATGTCTGCCCTGATGGACAAATTTGAACACCAGTTTGAAACACTGAATGTTCAAACACAACAGATGGAAGACACAATGAGTAGCTCTACAACCCTAATAATACCACAAAACCAAGTAGATATGCTGCTTCAAGAAATGGCCGATGAAGCCGGCCTTGATCTCAATGTGGAACTAGCACATGATGTACAAGTTTTTGTTTGAATATCTGTTTTCAGTTCTCTTGGGTATATACCTAATGGTGGAATTGCTGGATCACATGGTAATTCTATGTTTAACTTTTTGAGGCATTGCCACACTGTTTTCTACAGTGACTGCACCATTTTCCACTTCTGCCAGCAATGTATAAGGGTATCACTTTCTCTACATCTTCACTAATACTTGTTATTTTCCTCTTTTCCTTAAAAAAAATTAAAGCTGTCCTAGTGGGTGTGAAATGGTATCTCATTGTGGTTTTGATTTGTATTCCCCTAATAACATTAAACATCTTCTCATATGCTTAACTGGCAATTTGTGTGTCTTCTCTGGTGACATGTCTGTTCAAGTCCTTTGCCTAGTTTTTAACTGGGTTATTTGTCTTTTTATCGTTGAGTTATAACAGTTCTTTTATATAGTGTTCTGGAGACTAGACCCTTATCATATATATGATTTGCAAATATTTTCTCCCATTCTGTGGGTTGCCTTTTCACTTTCTTCTTGGTGTTCTTAGAAGCACAAAAGTGTTTAATTTTGCTGGAGTCCCATTTATCAAACATTTTTTGGTTGCTTTTGCTTTTGGTTTCATATCTAGGAAAATATTGCCACATCCAAAGTCATGAATGTTTACACTGATGTTTTTCCCTAAGAGCTCTTACATTTATATCTTGGATCTATTTTGAGTTAAATTTTTTTATATGGCGTGAAACAGGAGTCCAAATTCATTCTTTTGCTTGTGGCTATTCAGTTGTCCTAGCACTGTTCTAGTTTGGTTACAATTATGTTTAATTTTGAGATAGAAAGTTATTGTAGTCCTAAATAGGGAAACCAAAATATCCAGAGGTTGGCCATACTCATATGTTGTGTAACCAAAAGAAAATGTTTACAACTCTCTGACATGTGATAGGCCAAGAAATGTGTATTAGGATATCAATGTGTTGCTTGATAAGAAAATGAAAGCATGACATTTACTTTTCTTATGGGGGACTTTCCATGTCTGAAGTTCTTAATGAATTACCCATTTCCCTGAGGGATGGGACATTAAAAACACATAGAAAATCAGTAGATGGTGATTTTGGCTTTCAGGACATATTTCAGAATTTTTGGTACAATACTAGATTATCATAACATTTAGTGTGGGGTCAAATGATGAGGAAGAATGAGTTGTAGGTAGTTATAGGAGGTTTTATTAGATGAGTATCCTTTGGAGGAAGGACTGTTTTTAATGAGTCTATAGTGAGTTATAAGAGATACTTGTCAAAAATTACTTAAGCTGTGCTATTAATTTAGAGATGGTTTTTCTGCAAAGAAGATCCATAGAAATAAATGACTTAAAATGCCTTTCCCCCCTGATTTTTAAAAGTAATACTTGTGGAGTTTTAGAAAAATTAGAAAGTAAAGAAAAGTATAAAGACAAAACTAAAAATTACCCGTAATTTTATCAAGCAGTAGTAACACTATAAATATTTTTATGTTGTTTCTTTCTGAACTTTAAAATTTTTCATTTGGGGAGGAAATATGAAGCTTTGTGGATTTCATACCCCAAACCCCTCCCACTCTGATTTCATTGGGAAATCTTCCTTAATTCTTTTAATTCTAGTAGGAATATTAACTCAGCTTATTGGAGGAAAAGAGAAAAGAAAAAGTTCCTCTACTACTTACATACAAGGAGTACAGGTTTCAACCCTGATCAATGGAACAAACAAAATCTGGTATTAGTTTGTTACAGGCTTTCAATATAACAGTTTCTTTGATTCTAAGGAAGAAAATCAAGGTTTCAAAACAAATTTGAAAAAACAGGATAATTCTATTTATAAGACTATAAATTTTTGTGGTAATAAAAATTGTTCTTACTAGTGATACGAACTAAATTGACTCTGATTATGCTATAATTGACTTTGTGACCATGCAACACCTCTGTTACTTGGTTAGTTATCCGGTGATAATCACATGCAGACCATTTTTGGGACATAAGTTGTCTTTTTTTTATTTTTATAGTGATATTGATAAAGATGGTGTGTATGTCTCATTAAGGATGTGCCTGTCACATAATAGGAGTTCAGTTAGTGTTTGCTTATGATAATAACTACTTGGTATTTGCAGTTTCGAATTTTAAACAGAAGATTTTTAAAGTAGCTATATCACCAATCCAAAATACTGTAAATGAGAATAGATCTAAGATGGTATCTTTTACACTGTAACATACCATCACCCTAAATGAAAAAAATAAGTGTCATAACTCTAAAGGAAGAAAGGCATTGTGGACCAGTAGAAAGTATTAGGTATAGGTATTTAATGTTCCAGTTTTCTTTCATTTTCTTTAAGTTAGAAAATGGGCTGAAGTTATTGAATTGATGTGCATTGTGACGTTATCTTTAGAATACTGTATGTTAGCAGCTAATATTAGCCATTTTAGTTATTGTATGTTTTAATGGGTTCCTTAAATAGATTTGGCAACAAAATTAGAAAATAAATTTGTTTTCAATGATACAAATCTTGTTGGGCTGGCTGAACTAGATTGACATCTAAAGATATACCAGGAACATACTACTGTTTGCTAGATGGCCTCAGGCTGTGCTATATTATACTTGTGAATCAGTCAGAATGTCCATTGTGACTGTGACAGGAGAATGGACATGGTATGGTGTATGGAAAAATCTATCTTTGAAGAAGATGATTTATGTCTTTCAAACAGATACTGTGAATGAATGTAAGAATAAAAATGACACTGACACAGATTTGGGTTGTTGATAACGTGTAATATTTTATTTCTTTTGTAAATGTTTGTAGCAACACACACACACACACACACACACACGAAGGTGTGATCAAAATATATGGTGAATGTTTAAATAAAAAAATTATTACAATAAAAGACATAATTCCTCTCAAAATACTCCCCCTTGCTTCAAACACACTTATCCCATTGTTCTTGACACTTTCTGAAGCAGTTCTGGAAGTCCTCTTTCGTGAGTGTGTTTAGTTGTGCTGTCGTAGCTGCCTCGATTCAAAACGTTTTCCTTTCGTGGTCATTTTGACTTTGGGGAAGAGCCAGAAGTCGCATAGTGCCAGATCCGGTGGATAAGGTGGATGAGGACACACTGTGATGTTTTTATTTGATAGAAATTGCCATACCAGAGGTGATGTGTGACATGGAGTGTTGTCATGATGGAGGATGAAGTAAAGATACTCACAAAAGTGGACTTCCAGAACTGTTTCAGAAAGTGGCAAGAATGATGGGATACGTGTTTTGAAGGGGGATTAATGGCAATGTGTCTTTTATTGTAATACATTTTTTTTTTAAGATTTTATTGGGAAATTGAGGGAGGGGAATAGTGTTGGGGAATTGGGGAAGGGGACTAGCCAAGTTGTTGTTCTTCAATCTTTGCTTTGGAGGGAGCCAGTCACCATCTGGTTGCCTGTCGACAACTCGTGGCCTCTAAATTCAAGGTGCTGTGTTCAATCTTAGTTGTGGGTGGGCGTAGCCACCATCCCATGTGGGTGTCGAACCAGCAGCCTTGTTGTTAAGAGTGCATGCTCTATCCACTGAGCCATCTGGACGGCAGCTCAGCTCAAGGTACCGAGTTCAGTCTTAGTTGCGGGAGGGCATAGCCCACCATCGAACAGGCAATCTTGTTGTTACACCAGCTGAGCCATCCTGCCACCTGTTGGCAGCTCAGCGACAGCTCAGCTCAGGCACAGTGTCACTGGCCCGTGTGGGAATTGAACTGGTGGCCTTGTTGCTCAGAGCTTGCACTCTTAAGCCAACTCTTAACCAACTGAGCCACTTGGCTGGCCCTGTAATAAGTTTTTTTATTTAAATATTTACCGTATTTTTCAATCACACTGTCCATAGCCAGTTGGATTGGAACTTGGCAAAATGTGGACATAAACAATTTAGGATAACTAAGCATGATGTGAAAATTTTGGATATTTGATATTTTAGAGTTCACTTTATATTTTGGTCTGTTGATTTCTGTTAGATGAAATTTTGGGATTTGTGTGATGTGTAAAGAATTGTAACTTGTATAATACTTGATTAGAATTGTACTTGCAATAATGACCCCATTTTTTATTTCATTAAGGTAGCAACAGCATTTCATTTCATGCCTATACTCCCTCCTCTTCCAATATTTAGCGTGTAATTTTGACCGATAAATCAAGTAATGAAGAATTCTGATGGCTAGCTGGTTTAAATCTCAAAGGGCTGTCTTAGGGTTTGCTGGCCTAGTTCATGCTCTTTGTTGTATTAAAGACATTTATAAGGGTAACCAGTATTTGTGAATACTTCAGGTGTTTTGTGTTTTTAATATGGAATGAAGCAAACCCATACAAAAGGAGGAGAGGTAGAGAAGCTACATCGTGGCTGAAAGTAAAAATCCTGTGTATGGGAGAATATGCAGAGTATGGTAGAAAAACAAAAAGTGAGACAGAGGGCTGGTGCATAATTATTCAGGAATGGGAGTGGAGCAGCTGTGAGTGTGTGCAAAGGGAAGGCCAAATTAATGGATAAGTGTAACTTTAAATTCATTGTTTAATTATGAATCTTAAATAGGCCCCTTAATCCCTCAAGGATGAATGGTTTTCTTTTTGCTAGGTGCAACTAGGGACTCTTCTAGTGTTTGGATGCCATTAAAAATATAGTTATTTTAGATATTCCACTACAGTAGATTGGACATACAGTCGTTAATTTTAGGATATTTCATATTCTTATTAACTAGTTAAATTTTTTCAATTATTTTAGTATAATGAATAAATAATTTTGATTTGCTATAAATTGAAGTTATTTAATAATTACAAATATTTTTTTCATGTTCTCTTTAAACATTCCCCTAATTCCTTATAAGACATACTTGTGGAAATTGTCACATTTATACTATTCATACTGTACAAATTATGTTTTATATGTCTTAAATCATGTGGAAATTATGTTTCTTCAAGAGAAGTTTGACACTGAGAGAAAACAAAGCAAATGAACAGTTCTTGGAAAGCTACTGAGGACAGTATTA